AGTTCTGAACTTGAAGTTTTGGTTGTTATAGAAGCTTTGAAGAAATTCCGAATTTATTGGGTATTCCTTTTAAAATTATTACAGATTGTGCTGCTTTTCAAAAAACTATATATACAAATGATTTAACTACATGTGTTGCTAGATGGGCTCTGCTATTAGAAGAATTCAGTCATGTCATAGAGCATAGATCTGGCTCGACAATGACTCATGTCGATGCTTTGAGTAGAAGTCTTGTTGCCTTTATCCAGATTAAAAGCTTCTCGGAATGATGATGATGAGATAAGGGCAATAAAAGAAATAATTAAAACATCAAATTATGAAGATTACTTTGACAGAAATGGGCTTTTATACAAATTTATTGAAGGTAGAGAAGTTCCACCTATACCATCTGGCATGCAGATGGAAATAATCATGAAAAGGGATATGTGAATGTTAAATGATCTGAGGAATTCTCAAACAATCGTATTTTATTCCTAAAACAAGACAAAAGATCAAAAGAGTTGTACCAATGAAAATATCAAACATAATTTAATCACTACTGGATTACCTCATTCCAATGGACAGATTGAGTGCCTAAATCAAGTTATAATATCTATTCTTTCAAAATTATCATTAAACGATCTGACGAAATGGTTCAGATACGTTAATGAAGTGCAGCAGTTAATTAATTCATCTTATCAGAGAAGCATAAGCACTATTCCTTTTGAATTATTATTTGGAACTAAAATGAATTTTAAAGAAAATATTAAACTTAAAGAAATAATTGACTCAGAAATTCAAAACAATTTTGAAACTTACTGAGAAGAAATTCGAAAAGATGCAAAGAAACAAATATTTAAGGTACAGGAAGAAAATAAGAAAACATATAAACTTCAAAGACGTTCTACAAAATGTTATAAAAGTAATGATTTAGTAGCCACCAAAAGAACTCAGTTTGGACCAAACTTTAAGTTAAAATCAAAGTATTTAGGCCCATATAAAATTGTAAAAATAAAAGGTAATGACACCTATGATGTTGTAAAAGAAGATCATGAAGGACCCACAAAAACAACTACATGCACTGAATACTTAAAACAATGGACTCGAGCACAAGAAGATGTATAAAATAATGCTGATTACGACGTTTTAACCTGGAGTGATACAACTAATAACCGAACTGTAATTTTTCACCTATTAATGACTATTACTTTAGATAATTTTATTTTAAGATGAAATTAAGTTTTCCGAAAATGTTAAAGATTGAAGATATTTTTCGTTTCAGATGAAGATTTCTGAAAAATAGAAGGGACTGTTGATGATGCTATTGTTGGAAAGATGAAGGACAATTAAGGACCTTTCAATATTGTCCTTAGCACATAATCTTCCCCCTCTCCTTTCGTATTTCTTTTCAGGTTTCGGCTTATTCATGATGATGATCCTTTTACCGAAGACAACGAAGATGTAAGATGACCAATGATTTATGATGTCAAGAGTAGAATAATGTCGTTGAGGTTGATGCATAGCAGAAAGGCCAAGTGTGGGATTTTAAATCCATAGCTTAATATGTTTCCTCGCGCGATGTCTACTTTTTAGCTGTTGACTGCACTAGTGAAATTGATGGAACTCTCGCCACTTTGTTTTATGAGAGGAAATGCAAGATGATATAGATGTTGTATTAATATATGTAAGATGTTATAGATGTTATGATAATATATATATGATGTTATAGATGTTGTATTAATATATGAATGATGTTATATATGTGTTAATGTTTCATTAAATGTGTTTTGTTTGAACATGAATTGTGATTGTCAAACACAAGAACCCACATATATATATATATATATATTACTTTTATAACTATAATCAGAGTTTTTTCCTTCACTGAGGATTGAGATTAGAATCTGACCAATCGAGATTAAAAAATGTCTTTTCTGCAGACATTTTGAAGGTAAAGAAACAAAGAAATCTTTTTAATGATATTTAAAAATAAGTTCAAGTATTTGATATTTATTTAGCAGCATGCATTACGTAAAAAATATGTGTACTAAAATTTCGTGATGGTATGTCATCATACTGCTAGAATTAGTTTCACAAGTATGCCAGAAATTTGAAAGTATTATTAAATAGTAATAAATAAATTTAGAAGGAAGAGGACACATTAAATGATATGAGTAACATTAAAATAAAGTTAATTGCTTAAGGATTAAAAACTAAATTATAAAAATCGACTGTACTTTGGTGAACATAGATATATTAAATGGTTACCCTAGATGACTGTTTTTTTCCCCCTTCAAAATGACAAATAAGGAATTTAAGAAAGAAGTAAAGGTTTAAACAATTTTGTTTTATAAGAGAATGGAACAGAATTTACTCTTGTTCAACATGCACTGCACATGTGCATGCAATTTTTTGGATTCTGGAGGTTACCAGAAATGAAAGATGCTGGAAACTTGCTTTGCCTTTCTAAAATACAATCTGATTGGTGCTGCAAAAATTGGCTCTATGCCAGAAGTCCAAAAGTTGCTCATGCGATGCTTTATTCACCAAGAAAGAGATCACTTCCAGTGGTGCAAAAATCACTTTTTTGGGGATCGCCATATGAAATTCCCCGATTTTGACTGAAATACTTAAATTCCCCGACTTTTCCTGGCTTTTCAGGTGTTTCTAGGTAGCGTGACAACCCTGGCATAGAAAGAAATCTGTCGCATTGTTCCATCTGGACATGACCACCTCTGTAAGCAGCTCCAACATATCAGTGTTGCTCCTGACTCTCTTTTCCCCTTGTGCAAGACACAGACTTCAGACATCTCCGCAAATGCTCTGCTCTTCCTCATATTTCAATTTGGGAGAGCTAACTGTATTGCGAAGAATGCCCCGAGTTTATAGATATAGTGATGCCAATTTTGATATTCAGTTGTCTTATAATGTGACATTTGAAATTTAAAAAAACATACATAGCGCCTATGTGTCATTGAAACACTTAAAAACGAGCGAGTCGAAAGATGGAAGGGAAATAGCGGTGGAAGATCCACGGAATCTATCAAAATTAGTGTGGAAGGACTACACTTGTACAACCAATGGTGAAAATTCTGGTTATCCCACCTACTGCTTTCTGCCCTGTCCTGTTTACAATAAACAAAACCAGGTTAGAGTTTCATTGAGAAAAATTTTTAGATATGTAAAATGAGAATAGCAATTGCCATAAGACAACATGTTGTGCTTTTATTTAAACATTATTTTATCATGTGGCATCATTAAATTTATTTCAGATTTAGTTTAAAATTTTATTTTGCTGTTTATTATTGTTTATATCTTGAAACAGAGATACACAGGGCAGATCTAAAGTGCTCAGAAACTCTAAATATCATACTTTGGATCTAACCATGGATGCAATTAAAAAATTACATGAAATATGTATTTATCAAATTAAAATTTATTTCACACATCTTAAACAAAATTTAATTTGGTCATAAAAAAACCTTGGCAAGCCAGGTGGGATTACAAGACAAAGACTCTTCTTATAAGCAAAATACACACAATGTGACTATTCTCAAATTTAACTGAAATAAATGCACCCAAGACAGATATAACACAAAAGGCCTATCTGCCTAAGCTATATACAAATCTTGATTGACAGTATTATGTGTGAGGGATGGGTGTCTGAGGTTTTCTACATTTTCATCCTTAAATTAATTTAGGCTTTTCTCTTCAAAAAAGGGGGGACTATTTTCTTGATATCCTGAGAAAGAAAAAAATCGATTTATGCCAATTGAAGCAAACAATCAGTCATTCAAAAGACAGATATGTTAGTAGATCAGTAACTGTTGAAGTGGATTCTTGCATTCACATTTCTTTAATTACAAAACTCAAATATGATATATTCAACTCAAATATGATATAATAAACTCAAATATGATATAATATTCTTTTCATCATCTTTGAATTTCCTAGAAAGTCTAGCTTAGAACAGTTTGGTGATAGCCTCTGAAATAAGCCGAAAGAGTGAAAACCATATTGAATCCAACATCTTTCCTTTCAAATTTAAATGACAACTGCCAAAAAAAAGCTCATTAGTTTATACAACTTTAGCCAGCTGTGGATACTGCAAATACACGGAGGATCATTCCTGTAGTTACATTAAGTAGAACAAAGAGTTAAAGAATACTACATTATTTTCATGTATTAAATTCTGCACAGTTTTTATCGGGCAAAATCGTTTTATTACTGCTGATTCATATTTAGTGAGTTTTGAGTTTACATTGTTACGACAACTACGAGGTGGGTACAATACTTCCAAGAAACTGCAAGGAAAAAAAAAATTACAGCAAGTTTTAATTTACTTACTGTTCATGAGAAGCAATTTTTGTTTCAAGTATAAGCCTTTCTATTATAAAAAAATATATATATATATATATTTCCTGACATTTTTTATTTCCTCGACTTTTCATGCGAATGAGTACCCTGCATAATTATTAATAAAAACAGCTGTAATTTCATGAAAGTTTGGTAAAAGCAAAAATGAAATTACACTATTTTATATAAAGATGGAACACAAATATTAATATTTCATATTTATATAAAAATGATAATCTATTATTTTTATATTTTTGTTTTATATCTGACAAATAAGAAAAAACACAGAAATCAATTACTCCATTAAACAGACAACATATAGCACTAACATAACATGCAAATAAAGGAGATACATTACATTTATTATTTCAGAATCAAATGCAACAACTTGTACCTTTCATTTGTTAATTCATTTCAGAAATGACTTTTATGATATATAGCTGACAGAGTGTACATAGATACATATGACTCAAAAGCACAGTTAGACTGTGTTTTTCTTTCAAGAAAACTTATATTGTTCTTTTTTGTTTCTGATATATTCTAAAAAATTATGACTAAAAACTACACAAATCTAAAAACAATAATTTTCCCCCTTTTGTATAAGGTAAGAACATATGGCATTAGAAATGTTAGAATAATTCAATATAAAAAAAATCATAACATACCAGGTATATTATGTACAGTTATGGCAATTATAAGCAATAAAATTCTCCGCCATCTAACATCAAGCAAATTATTTGTGACAGGCTCTACTTCAAAATCATCACTATCACTGCTAGGTCTGTAACGCCTGTGAAGTCCATTTTTAGAGTTTGTACCTATAAAGAATAATATAACGAAAATTACAATTAAATGCTGCTATATGCAAATTCTATTAATTGCATTTATTGTTTGCAATACAATCAAATACTTTTCCCCTTTTTATCCTAATATACATATACTTTAAAAACTGCAGAAATTAAAAGAGAAAATTTATAAATTTTCACATATTCACATATTTTATCATATATCTGTGAAAAAACTCATTATATTCTTTCAGTTAAAGAAATCCCACATAGCGTATATTCCACTCTATAACGCCCACTTTTAATGAAAAAAATAAGATTGAAATTCATGGGTGCACATTATATGCCGGATATTAAAATGACAGATTTAAAAATAAGGAAAAGATGAGCATTCAAAAATTAGATTTCTATATGTACCTAAATGCTATTTATTTAAAAGAAAAGATATATCTTTTGAATTTAAAAATTTTCATTATTGGACAATATGAAAAGCTCCCCATATTTGTCATATCTTCAGGCGCATCATCGAATTCTGTTTCATTTTCACCATCACTGTTACTCTAACCCATAAATAAATAATCATCTTCCATTCCATCTAGATTGTAGATATACTATATTTTTTAAATGACTTTTGAATTATGTTGAGTTTAATTTCATTCCATGCCTTTATTACCCACTCACACACTACTTCTCGACTGCATTTGGCCTCCTTCTGTAAATATATTTTCACCTTCTAACATCCACGTATTCCACAGTCATTTTATGACTAAAGGCTGAACTAATGGTGCTAATCTGGCTGGAATAACTGCCATGTCTGTATGGTGTTAGATTGGATCTAAGCATTAGCACTCTATTTGGCAGGAGCCATACTACTAAAAGGAACAATAGACCAACTGTTATTTCAATTAAAGAAAATGTGATTTACTAAAGCCTAAATGTTCACTTATTTATTCCCCTTTTCTCAATAATAAGAATATTGTTCTTGTGCACACCTGTATTGATTACAACTCACTTTCTTTTCAGAATTATTTACTCCCTTAAGCATTTTCTCCACACACACATTTTTCCCATTTATTGTCTATCAATTCAGCATTCCACTTTTTGAAAGTCTGGGAAAATTCTTCAAATGAATGACTTCAAAAGAAAAGAGCATTGGATGTGTATCCCTCAAATTTCTTCTTAAAGATGTGCATTGTAGGGCAAACATACCTAAAAATTAAGAAATGTAGTTTGAAATTACATGTGCGCATTATAAGCCGAACATATAGTATATATACTCGTATACTCTTCCATCTTTCATAAGCATGATAGTAAAATAATACCTTTCTCTCTTAGTTTGAAAAATTTCTGATGAGAAAATTTATATTTAAATTTAACCATTTTGGAAATTTGGCAAAAATTCACATGCAGATTTCACTTTTATGACTGCTGTAGGTTTTTACAAAGGTAACTACAAAACGTTTTAGAAACTGGCTTTTGTTTAACTAATAATATCATAAAGATAATGCATAATAATTTTTAACTAATGATCCATTTTCAAATTTTGCTTATATATGCTGTCCTGAAAAGAAAGAAAATTGAAGATAAATTAATATTTAAAGTTTAATTTGAGCAATATGTTACATAAAGATGACTATAAATATATTTTTACAATTTAAAATATAAAAAATCAATTTAAGATTTTTAGATATAAATCTTAAGAAATGTGATCACAGGCAAACATGCCTGTCCCTTTCAAGTTTTATGTTATTCAGCCTCTTCATTTTGTAACCTAATTTATTTTTTTAATTATTTTAAATATGAACTATTAGTGTGTTATTCATGATAAAAATTAATTATAGATTTTTTTACTTTAGCAAATCAATAAAAATAATTTGTCTTCCACTTCATTCCAAGTCATTGAGATTATTTTATCCACAAGTAGTCTGTAAATCTCTCTCAACAGGGCAGTACATATTTAGTGACATAGATAAACTGGTCAAGCTTTTATCTATGTCACTGAATATGTACTGCCTCCTTTACAGATTTACAAACTAATTGTGGGTAAAATAATTGCGAGGTAATGGACTTGACATGAAGTGAAAGATAAACTATTTTTGTTTTATTAAATTTATATCTAAAAAATTTCAATTGATTTTTTAAAATATTTTTAATTGTAGAAATGCATTTATAGTATAGTCATCTTTATGATCTATAATTTAACTCAATATTAATTTATCTTGAATTTTCTTTCTTTTCTTCTGGGACAGCAATCAGCAAAATTTGAAAATGTGCCTAATACAGTGGTGGAATATCTCATTTTGATGTGATTATTAGAATTGTTGAACAAAGCACATCTCTGAAAGTTAAACAACTAAATATGATGATTCTATTAATCTCAGACAGTGGCATAGATAGGCAATGCCTATGGGTCCATTACTTTTTTATTTTGTAATATTGAAATATATAATTTTATCATGAATTATCATCATTTTTATCATGAATAATATTGAAAAATATTGAATAATGAATTAATAAATTTGTTGCTAAATATGCCTTTGATATTTATAAGCATAAATTTAAATTTTGTCAATAAATTACAATTAAAATAATTTACAATTTTGTCAATAAATTTAAATTTTGTCAAATTAATTTAAATTTTGTCAATAAATTATTAATTATAAAAGTTTTATATCTTATTTTTGAATAATATAAAAATTAGAAATCAAACTGAATACCAAAACATCCTATCTTGCTCGCTGTTAATCCTAGTGCCCCTGCGTAATGACTTCTTTTGTTTACATGCAATGACCCATCTGCAATATAGCAGCACTGTCATCAGATGTGCAGTGTAACCAGAAATAGCCTGTTTTGTTTGTGATAATCATTTTGTATTTGTTTTAATGTGTTTTTCTATATTTCAGCATAAGAAGTATAGTAAAAAATTGCTATGACAAACCAAATAGGCTAGTTCTGGTTACATTGCACATGCACAAATGATGAAAGGGGCAACCAGAACCGCTAAGTAAACAACACATCCTATAATAGTCCGTGTGTTTTATTCAGTTCTACAAATGCTTAAGAACTGCTTTATTAGTTATTGTTGAAAAATAAAATTGGAAATTAAGAAATATTAAAATAATTGTAATAATTGATAATAATAATGCTATATATATATATATATAGCATAAAAAAGGAGTGGAGCCCAAAAAATGAAATGAAAAGAGAGAACAAGCAGAAGAAAGAAAAAGCTCCCAAAATTAAATAACATCGTTATTAAAACATTATACTACTAAAAAAAATATATTCAATAGATATCATCTATGCCAGAGGTTGAACAAAAAACTGTAAACTATACTGTCGGCTTAAGTTGCCTCTACCTATAAGAATGACAAAACACATACAAGAGAAACAGTTATGCAGATATAGCAGATATAGGTAATTATGTAGGTAAAAATATTATTGGTGATATAAGATTTCTAATTGTGATGAAAATGAACAAAAACCTGTGGACCCATTTCTAAAAGATACTAAATAAGAAAATAGAAATTTCGGTGCAGAAAGGAAAAAAATCACAGCAAAACAGAAATATCTCTAAGAAAACTAAATCTGACTCATTGAACAGGCAGGATTACCCTACAAAACTGTGTAAAATTACATTATGGTAATTTTAAACTAAGATGCATATGAGTGTCCAACTGATACATCAATGGTGAAGTATGGAGAAGCATCATGATACTGGTTGTGCTATTCTAAACTACTGGATACTGCATACTGCAAACTCTGTGTTGATTGTTTCCTGACTCTGATAATAGTTGGTGTCCAGGTATTAGAGACTAGAATTAGTGATATGAATTAAAACCCACTGTTCTTCTAAATCAAGTTTTCTTAAACTTTTTGGTGTGGGGGTCCCCTTAATATTTACGAAAACTTTGTGGAACTTACTTAAGAAGTGTACAAATTCGACACATGTGCGAGTGAAACTGTCAGTTTCTTCCCTTGTACTGTAATGCTCTTGCAGTTTTAGGTCATTAACTGAAATTTTTAAAGTAAAATAAATGTTTCTATCATAAAAAAATGCATCAAAACATTTTTGTTTTTTCTTTCTTTGTATTGCCTTATCTTTATTTATTTTCAGATACATTATGCAAAAATATTTGGTAATTGTAAAATTAAAGAAATATAAAAATTGCTAAAATTTTTGGCGATCCACAGTTTAAAAAACTATTCTAAATCACATGTGGAAATAAGAGCTGCATATGAAGCATGGAAAAAAAATGACTAACGAGAATGACTTCGAAGAATAAATTTGACACGAGACAAATTTTTGGAAAATGGTTTTAGAACATTATTTAGCATTACATTTATGCTGTTAAAAATGTGTTAACATTTCGTGAGCATAGTGAAGATACGAACATTAGTTATAATGACAACTTGTTAAAGTAGGATAAATTATTAAGTAAATATGACAATGTTATGAAATTAGTTTTTGAAATGCTAGTAAGAAGTGTACAATGTCTGAGATCTACTATAAATAACGAATTAATTCGATGTGCTGTCAAAATTTAGAACACATTTCGGTGAACCAGACTGATTTTAAGATATGTTCATACTGCATGAGTGTTATTTTAAGATGTTCATCTGCATGAGATTCAGAACCCATAAATTTTACAATTAAAGAGACATTTCTTGGATTTTATGCTATAAAAGACCATTCCACTGAAGAATTGAAACTCATTCTTATTTTGTTGAATAAAAAGACATTTTAAAATGCTATAGACAAGGATCTAATGGTATTTGTGTTCTGAATGATGTCTGTAATGGCCTCCGGCAAAACATAAAAACTATTCAGCCAAATGCAAAATATGTACAACTTAAACCTTGTTATTAATGATATCATAAGTAGTTGTAGAGAAATTGCATTATTTTTTTAGATATTACAAAGTATATATTATTTCTGTGGGAAAAGTATAAAATAACAAGATTTATTAACACATTGAATGAATGCCACGCGCATTTTACATGGTTCACCCATAGCGCCAACATGAATTTTTTATTACTTTATTATGCATACTATATTGAAATATTATGAACAGAAGATAAGGTGAGTTATGTAATTGTGTTAGTGCATTTTTCCTGGTGGGGGTCACTGCTCAACCCCGAGGCGCTGCAGACCATTTTTGTGATTTATTATTTAAAATTTTGTGATCCATTACTCTTCAAAACATTATAATAACAATGGTTATTATTTAAAAATTTATCTGTATCGATATTTACTCTAATTATATATTTTTACTGTTGGTTGCATCACCGGTGGCCCCCATGGCTCTGTAGCCAAGTCGAGTGCCGGCCACCGGTGACCCCCAATGCAGTCAACGTGTTAACAAATTTTACAGCAAAACAGAAGTATCTTAAAGAAAACTAAATCTGACTTGTTGACCAACAATGGCAGGGCAGATTACCTTGCAAAATGGTGTAAAATTATGTTATGTTAACATCCTAAATCCACCTTAAAAGCAATAAAAAAGAGGGAACGGGAAGAAGTGCTGCAGTTAAAAAGAAAAATAGCAAATTTTGAATTTAATGCATTTGCATATTTGTGCATAAAGCATTAAATGAAATAACTTATTTTTACAAATATTACAATAAATCATGTCTAAACAAAGGCACACAATTTTTAAATAATGCCTGTATAAATAATACAAAGAAGCTATGAAATGAATTTGAACTTATTTTAGCGGATCGAAAAAAAGAAATGGCTGAAAATAAGATTTTATACATTATTTTAGAACAAATAAATTATGGTGTTACTGGCATGCCAAATGTGAGAAATTGATTTCATTTTTTAGAATCTTGCTTTATAATCCATAAGAAAGGAAACAAAATTAATACAAAAATGTGACAATTTTAATACATATTTATTCTAAAATACTGTCAACAGAATTTACTTTGCAATTTATAAATGTATTATAGTTGCGTAAAGATGGCATTAACTCTCGAGCATTGCAGGTTTAAGGCTGAGATTTTAAAGTTCCTTAAAATGTCATGAATAAATGGTACTTTCTTGATTATAATTTTAAAAATGACTCTCTCACTTTGTACCTTGATTTCTTTTCTTCCAATATACAATCAACCTAAAACGTGACACATTGAAAGTTGGCAGAAATTTTTGTGTGTAATGAATATGAAAGCGACTCCTTCATATGGAACTTTCCATTCATAATGCTGAAGAGGTTAAAGAAAATATGGTCACTGAAGAATTTGAGAACTTAAAGTTAAAAGACACTAACACTGGAAAGCAACTCATGTAAAATGTATACACTTTTCTTACTTTTTAAGAGATTTCTGTAATTGTTGCTACAGTAGAAAGATTGTTCCCACATTTAAAAATTATTAAACATTAAAAAAATGTGGCCGGACAAACACAGTTAAACTATCCTTTATGTCTTGCCATCGAACATGAAAAGGCAAATCAAATGGGCCTGAATAAAACAGAACAGATGGACAGACTGACTGACTGACACACAGATAAACATTTAGGATATTTACATACTAAATGATTTATAACTAACTTATTTTATATATATAGATATATATTTTTTCAAAATAAAGTAATTAAAAAACCTATGACTTGCACTAAAGCTGCAAAGTAATATATTGTATTTTGCCTAAGGGACTGAAATTTCTAGCTATGCTACTGGTCGCAGAACTTTAGTCAACCAAACTAACTACAGTCATTTTGGATCCTACTTTCCCCCCCCCAAGTAACTCATATTTATGCTTGTTTTGGTACTTTTTAATTATCCATGCACCCTTCCAAAAGGTCAGCATCTTGCTGGCAACTCATTTTTTGCTAAGCTGACATGTGAAAAGCAAAAGCAATAGGGAAAATGATAGTGCATTAAGAATTCCATAAAAGAACAACGAATCAATGAAATGGGGGGGAGCAAGAAACATCTGTATTAAAACACTAAACCTTTTTAAAGAATTTTTTTTCTGTTGTATTCTCTATGTACACAGCAATTTGTTTGCTCTTAAAAAAAATCAGATAATTGCACAAATTTGCCATTACTTTGATCTATAAAATTTGATCGTTTAAAAAGCATAACTTCACTGAATGGGAATTTTTGCCTTCTCTATTTTTGTGCAAAACAGTACATTTTTGAAGAAATGCAACACTTTCTCTTTCATCAGCTGCAAACCCAGCAATTCAATTATGATTTCTTACATGAAAAAAGTGCACTCAATACAAAAATAAACAATAGTTAGAAAAACGACTGAAGGTGGAAATCCACACTTATTTACAGCGGATGTGTGCATAGCTAGTCTGCCATAATAATACAATGGCAACATAGTGTGTTACCTTGTGAACGCTTTTCAGGAGAGTGCATATAATCATAAAGAATTTTTTTCATAAGGAACACAAGTGGCATATTTTTACATGTATCATTTTCAAAAATAATTTTACTTTTAAATGCATTTAAAACAAAATAAATTTCTTGATTTCCATTTTAGCCCCCTTTGTATTTAAATCACATAAAGGAAATATTCTACATCTGTAATTTCTGCTAATTTCAACTATAAGAAAGACAATATTTTTAAATATAAGGTGAAAAAAGAGCTCTCTCTCTTGTACATACATATATGTACACATGGAAATATCTTATTACAATTTTATGACATTTGAAATGTAACTTTAAATGTTCATGTTGAATAAACTATGTAATACATTTTCCATTTGTCAAACATTTTAGTTAAGGAAAATTACTGAAACTTATTGAATTTTAAAATCCTTCGAACATTTCAGTTAGAAAAGATTACTAAAATTTAATGTAATCAGCATTTTGTATTCAGTTAAAATTTTGTATTATTTTGAGAATGAGATTAATATAAAACATAGGTAATAATGAAATAATTTTGAACATTAGTGACAAAACTGATAATTTTTTTCAGTATTAATGCAGAAAATACTAAAAATTGTCATTCTGAACACTGTTGTTATGAATATAAAAATATATGAAATTGAATAATTATAATAAAATTGAATGTGAGTAATAAAAACAAATATTTAAATTATGCTGAATGATTGCAAATCATGTAACAGATAACTGCCTGTAAAAAGTACAGTATGATGTAAGGCTATTGGTTCAGAATTAGAGGATTATTTTTACATCTAAATAGTTGCTCCTTTTACTCTCACAGGAAACGAGGACTACCATTTATAAGAATAAATGTTCTCTATAGAATTTTTTTTTAGTTCCCTTACACAAGAAATGGAGGAATTTTCAAGTAACTGTTCAAACACCCTTTAACCACCAGTCAGTAAAAGAAGATTGCCCAATTTTATATCAGAATGTTTATTAAAGAACTGTGAAACTTTCATTAGTATAAAATTAGGAATCGAAATAAAAAAGAAATATACATAAGAAATGCAACAAAAATTTTAACAAAATATTAATAGTATTTATGATGTTAAAAGGCAGGTTATAAACATGAAAATTAGAATGTTGTACATTTTTGTGATTTATTATGATGTACTAAAATAAGCTGATATCTACAAGTTCATATATATACTTTTCTTTGTTGCATTTTATGATAGAAGTGAAAAAAGAATGAAAGGCTTTTCCTGAAGAATCATAATCATCTTTCGCTTTAACACTCTCTAAAAAAAGCCAAGTTTTTCTTTTGTTGTTGTTTTTTACCTCTTTGAAAGGGAAAGGATATGCAAGGGGAAAAAAGGGGGTAAGGTAAAATTCTAACTTTAAATTGCATTGCCCTTTAACTGTCCTTTTTAACAGCTTATTTCTTCGCTCTGCCCTAAAAACATTAATATGTTTATAAATGTCTCTAAACTACATCACTTTAGGATTAATGCCTGCCATGTGATTCATGATGCAGACACTTACATTTCAGGCAATAACCATGTTGAAATTTGTAAACTGAAACACCTTTTAACTAATCAGAATGAGTTAACCCAAAAATGATTTATTCTTAAACATGCTTTCATACTGGCCATTTTATCTGTGTTCCTTCCTTCTAGCTTGCTGATGGCTGCTGCTGCATCTTTCTTCAAATTTATTACAAAAGTATAAAAAGGCAAAGCAGAGTGTGACCCTTAAACTGTGTCCATCTGTTACGAATTGTTTTGTCAAAAAATAAAATTACTGAATCAGCCATAACTGCTACGATTTTCTGAGGAATCAGCTTTTGTCATTGACATCTATGTCATCATCAAACATTATTTCATTACACACATATACTCTCTCTCTATATATATATATTCTGGTGTATACACACACACACACACATATCTATCTCTATTTGTCCTAGAATAAAAATAAAGTGATACTAATATACAAATGACTTTATTAAATGCAGTTAATAAATAAATTAAAATGTTTTAAAGAAAAGGACAGAAAGTTTGATACTCACGATGCCTTTTATGTCTTTGAGAATCTTTCCTATCTACCACATAACCATCTTTTCCCATTTCTTGACAAATATCAGGATTGAGAGCTACTTTTGCAAAATTTTCCTAAAATACAATAAAGCTTTTTTGTGAATCTATTGTTCTATGTCTAATTTTACAAAATCTACATTAAGTTGATTTATAAGTTTAAACGTACCATTAGATCCAAGTCATCAGCAATAAGACCCGAATTTTACCAAGTAAATTAATACATGAACTAGAGAGTTGGATCTAACAATAGGCTAACATGAGTAATGAGCATTTATAATGTAAAGTTCACAGTAGAAAACTCCATTACAAATTAAAAATCCACTATTTACATTTAGATCTTTTTACTGTGCTCATTTTTTTATTCTTGAGAATAAAATGTGAACAAATTATAAATGTTCATTACTCATCTTAAACTTTTTTAATACATAGAGTTAGATCTAACAACACTTTTAAACTTAAATTATAATTTAGCAGCACTTTAGCACTTTGCGCTAATTTATTCTTTTAGTACTAGCATACTTTTTTCTCAACTCGTTGACTACTTCTTTTCTCTTTAAGTTGATTTATAAAAGAGACATGCAGGATAGTAATTTTCATTTTGAACAATGTACACACACACACACACACACACACACAAAAAAAAAAAAAAAAAGAAGAAGAAGAAGAAAAAAAGAATCCTACTTTATATCAAGAATAGTAGAGAAATCTTCTTCAGTTGGTTTTGATTTTTATATATGGTAATTTCAAATTTTTACATAAAAAATGGGCATTCAAACCTATGTAGTTGATAAATGTTTTAATATTAATTTAAATAGCATTTTAATGGGAATATTAATGGGAATACTTAAATTTTCCTGCTTTATAATTTCATATGCATCATCAGCAATGTAAATTTTATAAATAGAAAATATTTTTCAATACATAACTTAATGCAATAATAATTAATGTTTTTAAATTAAAATTTGTACATTTATCAAAATAAATTTGAGAATATTTTGACACTAGATGTTTTAGATTTTTTAGCCACGGGGGGGGGGGGGACTGAAAAACTCTGATACATATTGATTGATAACGATCAGCAATATTAAAGCAAAATATTTAAAAAAAATGTTCAAGTTAATAAAATGTAATATTTAAGGCAAGAGCAACAAATTTTGTTCTCAAGAATAAAAAACGAGTACAGTAAAAAGATCTAAATGTAAATAGCAGATTTTTATAATTTGTAACGGAATTTTCTACTATGAACTTTACATTATACTATATGCTCATTACTCATCTTAGCCTTTTTTTAACAAGACTACTTAATCTGATTAAAGGAGGTGATGGCCCACCTATTAGGTGCCTCCATAATAAAGAGACCACCACATCTGGCCTTGTATAGATTAATGGACTGGGTTACATTTGTAATTGTTCACAATCTGCCATTGGAGGAAGGAAAAAAAAAACTTAATCTGATTAGCTTGTCTAATAGCACATACTGTACTGATTTACAAGAAATTTTAATAGCAGACTAAAGTTTCAAATTGTTTTTCAGCTGTATTAGTACCAAACACCTCACTTTTTAAAAATTTTTATTTATTATTATTTTAAGAATAAGATTTGAGATTCAGAGAAAATCTTCTCTTACTGATATAATACATCAATGATGTTAACACAATGGAAGAATCTCTACAAAAAATTATGAAAACATCATCTGTTATGTAAGAAATTAATTCATGTTGATTCTGATACATCATCACCACATGAAGGCTAATCTGGTCATAGCAACTAACAATATATCCTGCACAGAAGTAGCTTCAAATTGGTAGCCTTTGGGCTACAATGCATCCCTCAAAGCAATTTTACGCAGCCTGTGAACAAATTTCCTAATAATTAGTACTATTCTGAGAAGAATTTGAAGAAAACTTTAATATTTTAGTGAACTAGTGTCCAATTTTAGACTATTTTCCTCATAATAAAAAAGGGAATGTGGGTAACACCCCAGATAATCTACAAATGGAGCTTATTATTTATACTGTGATGTAAATCTTATTCAAAGATTTGAAGATATAGACTATGATTAACCTTTTTCCATATTTATAAAAAGCTAAGTATTCTCAGTTACACATTTTTGCAATAAAAAAAAATCACTTTGTTTGGGAATATCTTTATATGTGAATAGTTTTTTCTGACATTAAATATTAATAGCTATTAAAAAAAAAGCTTTCAGATTTTATATTAAACCTAAAGTTTTTTTTTCTTTAAATGTTTTGTGTGTTACCTTTATATATTAAATATCATGTTCTTTGCACTTAAACCATAAAAATAATTCAACAACAATATCACAAAATATTTAAAAGAGCATATCTTTTGAATTTCTGATACACAGTCTCACGCGCTGGAGATAATCCCCTTCGTACAGTATTGTCATTGCTTGTTTTGAAATCATCGAGTTTCTTAATAAAAAAAATCATAAATGTTTTACAAAATAAGAAATAGATAATAAAATTGCAAATTTGGGCTTTCAGATGCCCATATTCAAGTGAAGACATATGATTCAAAATTTCAATTCAAAATTTCAATTATTTTAAATTTGTAATTCAAAATTTGATGGAAACAATTTAAAAAGTGATTCACTGTTTATATTGAATCAGAAAATACCAAAATGAGTTAAATAGCCTTACTTGGCAAATTGCCCTTTTGGGGTTGGGGGGAGGCAGATTGACTGACGAGGAGCTACAACTAGTGATGAAGGTAGTTTTATCAAAATCAAAATGACATGAGGTGTTGTAATTAACAGGATTCATATACACTTCTGCAGATGGAAATTAAGGACTTTTAAGAACCATAACTGATAAACATAATGGACTTATCAAGGAAATACGAACTGAATAAACTCAAGCAATTACCTACACCTGAACTTCACTTTTGTAACATTATTTATAATTTATGTAATTTGTAAGCATAAAATAAACCTGTAAGTAGGATGCATTATTATTAAACATAATCTAATATTTAACTTATTTGTAAAACAAATACAAGAATAAAATTAATAAATTTTTTCAAGTAATTAACATTAAATAATAAAATTTCTTGAAACATTTATATTACTTTACACTTGTAATAGTCCCACATATTTTAAAGAAGATTAGTGGTTTTTCATTTAAATTTTATTAACAGTTAGCTTTATACTGATTCTTTCTTTAATGCCTCATTTTGCATGTATACTCACTAAGTCCAGAGGTATATGCAAATTTCATATCAAATGGCATAAGTTAAACTAAAAGGTAAAATAATAATCAGCATGACTCATAACAGAAGCTTGACTGTAGCTACCACAGCTTAGAGAATGGCTGATCAGAACAAATGTAAACACCTGACATTGGTATGGTAGCAAGTGTTGAAAGTTAGCTGCACTTTGTCTAACACAGGTAGTATTGTAATTTCAAGTAGATCTGCTGGAGTTATAACACAGTTAATATACAGTATTTAACATAAAGTTCTAATAAGACGCTGAAGCACCAGAGATGATAAGTTGTTTTGTTTTAAGTCTCATTAGCTGTAAGGAATAATGTTAATGTTTTATGTTAATTTTTACACTTTTGTGTTGTATCTTGCATTCACATTAAGAATTAAGGAATGGAGATAACACACCTTAAAATCTAGACATTACTTCTAAGGGTGAGCAGTTAGTTACAAATAATTAAATTATATAGTTAGATTCTCTTACTGATAGATTTACATGGTTACATTTTATTTGCTTGTTTTTAAAAAATACCCATTAAAAAAGCACTAAGAACAGCAGTTACAATTTATGATATTGATTCATTCTAAAATTATATTAGTATAACTATACATTAAAATCTACAAAACATAAATGTTTTGTAGCAACAACAAATAATAAAATATTTATGTGTCTTTTTAATTTGAAAGTTTGCAGATATTTTAGCTACTTTACACCAGTTTCCTTCTCTTAGGCATCTTTTCTAAGTCTGTCTGTTTCAATAAACAAATCTATGTTCCCATTAATCTCCATTTCATCTTCTAATTTGTTAGTGCTTCAACAATGCACCTTTGAAGAATATTTTTCTCTCTCTTTATAAAATCAATTTCTTTTTGAATGAATTTCCTCTTCATTTCAGAATTAATTAAAGATTTTTGATATTCTAAAGAACTGCTTGTACTTAGAATGTATAGAAGAAACTGCTAATTTTATTTCTTTAATAATATGAGTATAGAGAATAAATATGAAATCATATAAGGTCAAAACTGGCACCAGAGACAGTGTGACCAAATTTTTAGAATTTAATTAAGCATTAAGCAACAAAATTTCAGGCAAAAGCTTTAGAACTTATCCGGATTTCGAACTCTGTACTATAAACAAATTTAATAAATTCTAAATATTGTCATAATAATGAGGTTTTACTTGACATGGAACTATTAACACCATCAGACATGAAGCAAATAATCTCTATGCCTGAAAGTAATTACATGCCATGAAAAAGTTTCAATAACCTTTTTCACTAAACAGAAATTAGAATATAAATGCTCAGTTTTGTGCTAACAAAATCAACCACAGCTCATCGTGATGCAACTAAAAGAATAGTCAAATTCAAGTTAAGACATAAATAGCAGCCACAGACAATGCAATTTAAATCTGCTCTATGCTGGCTCAGTAATTCCAACCACAGCATCAAAATCAATTTGTCAGCAGCAAGACAACACAAAGCAAATAATAAAAACTGCAGTACAAAGTCAGTAATCCGGACGTCCATTGTCCGGAATGATCTATAATCCGGACCTCAAAGCCACAAACTAACGGATGCGCATAATGCATTTACGCATGCGCCTTTAATGTTTATGCATGTGCGTTTAAAAAACGAAGCAACTTAAAAAGCTTACATTGAAAGAAATGTTTAATTAAGTAAACCAATAAATATTAAGTTTTTTTTTTTTTTTTTTTTTTTTTTTTTTTGTAAATTTTGATACCCTTCAGATTATAATTGCTCTTTATTTCATAAATTACGGTTTCATATTTTTAATTGTATAATTTCTGCATGCCCTCTTACCAGATTTAAATTGATGATCCATAATCCGGAATCGCCGAAGTCCCAACGAGTCCGGATTACCAACTTTGTACTGTATCAAAGCTAGCAGGAACTAAATGTAGCTGCATGTGCAGTCCAGAAACAAGCTGTCTTCAAATGCAAAAACCTCGATTTAAATACTAGCTTAACTCATTTATATTCCGGTGGGGAAAATGGAAAGGAAAAGTTCTAGTAAAGGCTGAAATTATAAACAACTGTTTAATTGAAATAATGCATAAATATCTTCTGTTTTGGAAACTTAAAGATATCCTTTTGTTCATTTTACCACACTTTTATATACACAAAAAGTATGGGTGCTTTTCCATTTTGCCGGCGCTGCCAATAATAGTACAGCTGATGCCAAACAAATGGAATATTTTCGCTGGTAATCTTTTACACCTCATTTTCAAAACAAGTCACAGATATTTCTTATCAGATTGATTATTTCTTTCAATACTGGCATACAATTACATAGCATTTTTACCAGATAGTTCAATTTTATGCCTTAAAGCAATTTGTGGTAATTAAGTCAATTAGGGTGTCAATCATACTGCTCACCGAAGTAAAAATATAGAAAAGGCAAAGTCAAGGGTTATTTCATCAATTCTAATGAGAATGCACGCCAAAGTAAGCACTGCAGTTTTACATAGTTTCTGAGTAAGTAATTCGTACGAATTGAATATTTTTCATTTAAAACTTGTATTCCAAATTAAGATTTAACTTGAAATTAATGTAGATAATAACTCAGAGAATTATACTTTTGTAGCATAGGTTACGTGAGATGAGATCACTTGGGGTCACTTAATATGAACCGTTGAATCAGTATGTTGAACCATAAAACCATAGTAAATTCTCAAATTCATGTATTTTTACAAATTTATTGTCTTTATTTATTGGCTTTTTACAAAATTTTAAACGATATTAAGATGTTTATGCCTTCAAAATTAAAATTGTTAAGAACTAACATTTGTTAACATTTTTTATGTGTATACTGTATGTTGTCGCCAATAAAGTCTGCTTGGCGAGATTTGTGGCAGTGAAACAGAAAAGTACCAAAGTACGTTACTTAATACATTTATAGTAATGACTTAAGTATATTTCTTGGAAACCAAAATGCATTCGGCTGTTAAAATGACTTTTTACCATTTAATAATTTCCAGTTTTTGACGGTGCTATGGCCCCTAAGCTGTTGAATAAGTAAATCATGCATGTATATAAAAAACAAATAAAATTTGAAAGTATTAAAAATTTAAAAAGTTACTTACACAACATGGTAAATATAAGTCAGCCAAAAACACAAACAATGCACCCATTAGAAAACCAAATCCAATGGGAATAACTACAAATTCGCCCTCGGCACCATAATTTTGAGATTCGGTGGCAATTTCTATAGCTGGTTTTAAGAGGGACCAGTATGATGCAGCCATCATAACCTGAAATAAATCAAATTATTTTTTTAGTAATGTGACAAAATTATTTAAATTATAATGTATCTATTTTGAACACAAAATACTGATTAGTAAAAATTTAAATTTATAAAAATTTCTTCTAGAAATAACATTTCAGTTAACTGCTAATTTTAGTCAAAATATTACACAGTGCATTTACTTCACTTTGATGCAAAAATTTGAAGGTTACTCCATAAACATTGCTACCTATTTTTTAAGAATTCTAAACTTAAGGCCAGTCATTTTCACAAAAAGTGAAAGACCATTAACTGCTTCTTTTTTTAGCAGGATTATAATATAATGATTATCAGTTTTACAATCAAGTTATAACAATCAGTAATAAATAAAAATTTGTCAAGGATTAGCATAACATTATTACAAAACTACTTTTTAAAACTGATAATAACATGTATTATTCACAGTCAAAATGATAAAATTTATAAATATGTTTTACAGTGCTTGTTAAATATATGTTTTACAATGAAAATAATATTTAATTTAAAACAATAATTTTTACAAATTAGAAAAATAACATATGCTAATTATTGAAGAGTCCAGAATTAAATAATTTTTTTATTACGATTTTTATACTCCAATTTAAAATCTGGCTATGCTTTAGCTGAAAATATCAGAAGTAAAAATAAGTCTACATTTTATTATCAAAAATTAATTGTGAAATCGGGTATTTATTGTGAAAGAATGGTATGTTATGCTTTATTCAAAGCACTGTCCATAGCTAGCCACTACTTTTTCCCATCTTTCTGGTAGCATATGGATACCACATCAGAAGAGTGTATACACAAAGGTACATTTCAAAGCTATACACAAATCAACTCAATTTTTGGTATCTTCGTATGATGTGAAGTTCTCAGACATGCCATGTGTCATCAATCAGAACAAGTAGTAATCAAAAGGAGCAATGTCTAGTGAATACAGCGTGAGGATAAAAACTTCTCATTTGAGTGTTTCCAAATAGATTTTGACCAGCACTGCAACATGTGGATGAGTGTTATCATGCAGGAGAATAATTCTGTCATGTCTGGAGTAGTAATGGGCGCATTTTTCTCTGAGCACTCGGGGCTCAGTCTCATCAACTGTGTTTGACAATGGTTTGAGCAATTCGTAATACATGATACCAGGTTATTTACAGCATATACACAACATGATTTTTTTTCCCATTGACTATTTGGCTTGGCTGTTGATGCTAAAGTATGGCCAGGTGGTCCCCATGATTTTTTCTTCTTTGGACTATTGTATCTTCTTTGAACCATTTTTCATCATCAGTGACTACAGAATGTAAAAAGACCCTTTTGTTTATGCCTGGCAAGCAGCATTTCATATGTAAAAATTGGCATTCAACGTTTCTCCACTTCAGTTCACATGGAACCTAGTTTCCTTGCTTTTGAATAATTTCCAATGATTTTAAACAATGTGAAATTGTTTGTTGAGTCACTCCTAATGTAAATGCAAGTTCTACTTGTGTTTCACACGAATTTTCATTCAATAATGCTTCCAATTCCATGTCTTTGTACACTTTCATCCTCCCACTCCCTTCTTGTCTTTTACAAGTTCTTGTCTTTCTTGTCTTTTTTCTTCTACAAGTAAAGCATCTCAATGGCAGACTTCTTCAAATTAAAGAAGCAAATCAAAAGTTCCCAAATCCACCAAAATCAAAATCCAAAATCAACTGGGACTATTTGTTCCAATCGTCTAGGACAGGGTTTCTTAAACTGTGGGTCACGACCCCCTTGGGGGCCGCGGGACCTGCAGCAGGGGGTCGCCAAAAATTTTAGCAGTTTGGGTATTTCTTTAACTTATTATAATAATTTTATAATTACCAACTATTTTTACACAATCTATTTGAAAACAGATAAGATAGGCTTACAGACAAAAACAAGTTTCACGCATCTTTTTATAACAAAACGTTCATTTTTACTTTCCTTCTTTGCAACGACGCTGTCATTTCGCCTGTTACTTTTTTAAAATTTTCACATTGTTCTATGTCTTAAAATTAGAAATTAAAGTTAATGACCTAAAATGCAATAGGATATTACAGTACAAGTAAAAATTTGACAGTTTCACTCGCGTGTGTCTCGGATTTGCACAATACTTATGTGGTCCCACAAAATTTTTGTAAATGTAATTGGGGTTTTGGGGTCACGAAAAAATCTCACTGATAAAAGGGGATCGTGACTGAAAAAAGTTTAAGAAACCATAGTCTAGGATATTACACTTTCTCAAAAAACAAAACTAAAATTTAAGGTAATATATTAATAATATATAATGTAAGGTATAATAAATATATAATGTAGGTAATATATATGAATATTACAAAACATAAACTCCATCACATGCACTAGTTTATATCCGACAGAAAGTGTCATATACGTTTCATAAACGCAAACATAATATAATATATCAGCATGTAGTAATTTGATCACTGGTAGGACATATTAGCTCACTGTTAAATATGATTGAGACAATATATCCCATAAAAAGAATTTATTCAAAATTTCTTATACCTGACATTAAAAATGTTAAATTACTACTAAATAAGAACTATTTCATACTAAATATGCCTTAAACATAATTATACTTATATAATTGTACTTCTGTATAATTGTAATTTAAAAAAATAGACAAATTGAAGCTTAAGTAATTGTTGGCATGCTAAAAAATATAAGTGAGCCATTTGCAATCTAAAAGTGTTGGCAGGTTTCTTTAGTCATATATTTGTTACCTTATTCCTTAAAAACACTGCAAATGTAAAAACCCATTTAAAAGTGGGTTTTATTTACCCAATAGAGGGTATGAAACCTAATCTCTGGGATGGATGTGCCCATTAGAACCGAAAAGGTTAATAGTATAGTATGTCTTTATGGGAAACTGGTTTATATTCAAGTTAATGTGAAAACCTATGAATCATGGCAAATGGGCTGGCTGCATGGGTATTTTCAAACTCAGACCGAGCTACCACAGTGCAGTAGTACCACCCTGGCTTAACATTGTACTTTACAACTTGGCTTCTGATGAGGTATGTTGTTATCATGAATGACAACTAAATAAAGGTATATTTTTTACATAAAGCCATCAACTGTACTTGCCAAACAGCTAAAACTGGGCCGGGAAGAGACAGTCACATAAAGTTACTTTAAATTTCAATTTTTCACAAAACTTATACTTAAAAAGTTCTTCTTCTTCAATGGCCAGATAGCACAGGATTAGCCCTTGCCTTCCTCAGACTCGAATTCCAAGCTCTTACATCCCTGGCCATGGACATCCACTTGGTTATTTTTTAAATTCTTAAGTCTGTTTCCAAACAGTCAAGCCACCTAACTTTAGGTCTCTCTCTTTTTCGGGTGCCAAACGGTCAGGCCGAGAAGATCTTTTGGTTGATCTTTATAATATGGTAACTGGTAGTTTGGCGACTTTTTGGAGGCGATAAAGGTTACTACCTGGGACTTTGGTAATAATGTGAGCAGTATTCATCCGATTACGCATTATTTTGCTTGAGGGAAATGAGAGATCATGGGATATGTCATGTGATATTAATGGACGAATTATGGTCTTTATCGGAAAGGGGAATCGGGAAAAAATGTGGAAATTTTGTTTTGCTTTCTGTTTGTGTGAAACAGTGTTTGTTTTTTTGGATCCCATGGCCGTGAACTATTTAAAAAGAAAATTTATCGGACACGAAAAGTGTATCATCAAGATTCTGAAGAAGATTAGTAAGTTAGTATTTTTAATTATTTGAGGATATTATTTTTATGCATTGTTCTAAATGTAAGGTGGAAAGGAATTTGGTATATTGGAAAATTGTTATTACAAGATTTAGTTTAAGTAATTAGGATTGTAGGTAATTTTTATTAATTTAATGTATGCTCATTTAATTTTAAGTAGTGATTTGAATTTAATTAATATTTAATGAATGATTTATTTTTGTGAATTTTATGTTTGTTGGAATTTGGTATCGTTTAAGTTGAAATAAACGTGCATGGAAATATTTAAATATTTGATACTAAGTATTTGTAAGCTTGCGGTTGATTCGTTGTGATGTATATGTATGATGATTTAAGGTAAATTTTTGGATATTTTATTTATTTATATGTGGAATGTTCATATTTGTAAAGGGTAATACTTTTTCGGATCAGTAATTTCATATATGTTCTTTTTACCCCGGGTTTAAAATTGAGAAAATTTCAGGTATTTTGTGAAATTTTTCTAATTTATGAGAAAAAAGCAGTGTACA